TGGTAATGAAAAGGAGGAGTATGAGGCTGGAGGAAGACCTCCCACAAAAGCAGAGTTCTTCAAGAATAAATCCATGCCACCAGTTATAAAGGATGAAAAGAGGAGTCATCAACAGCACAGAAGTGGAGGAGACTGTCAGCAAGGCAAGCAGAAAACCTTGAGAACTATTTAAAAGATTAAATTACCATAAAAGGTAGAACAACGTACAGGAAGACACACTAGCAATGAGTTATAAACTGTAGTAAAAGCAGATGCTGTCAAAGAAGTCCTGGTGCCCACAAAAGAAAGCAAAAGCAGTCATTAGATGCATTAACTGAAGTATTTCCAATGGATCTGCACAAATATTAACCACACTGTATGGGATTTTGGAAGGATCTCATTAGGAGTAATGTGACAGACTATATTAGTAATCCAGTCTCAGGTCAATTTCGTTTGCTTTCTACAGGCATTTCAAGGAAATAATATCAGAAGAGCTATTTAAACCATAGCAAAGGAAAAGAAAAAAAAAAGGAAAATAAAAAGAAAAATTTTAAAATGGCAGCAGAACAAAAGGATGTAAACATGTCATTAATAAATTCGAACTACAAATTAGGCGTTTTCTAACAAATGGAAAGTAGAGATTCTGGAACAGTCTTGGCACAGGTACAACAGTAAAACATTGCTTGACTTTAAAATAAGAGGATATTTTTCTAAAAAGGGTAGATATGTCATGGCTGTGTGCAATAACAGAGGCCAATGGTCAGAGTTTCCTGCACTCCCTTCCTGTCCTGTGGTCTCATGAATCCTCAGTTAGCAATATCTATGTAATTTGTACTGTGGCTGGGGTGTCATCAAAAGCCTGTGTTCTCCAGGCTGTGTAAACTGCTGATGAAAAATAGGAAGTCACAGTGGCTCTTCCATGACTTCCCATTTCCCTCATGCTGGTGCTACAACCCAAAAGGGCCTCCAAGTTCATATTTCATGCAGAAATTGTGGCAAGCAAAAATACACCAAGTCCTATTACCATAAGATAGTGGAGACTGGAAGGGACCTTAAGAGGTTCAACTGTTAGCCCAAACCAGGCATAGCTTTAAGATCAGACAATGTTGTCAGGCTTTTATCCAGTTGGGTCTTGAAAACCCACAAGCAGTGAAGCTGTAGAATATCTTTGCATAACTTGCTTCACTGCTTGACTGCCCTCATGGGGAAAATTTTTCTCCCTTGTAAACAGCATGAACCTCTTCTGTTCCAGTTTACACCTCCTGACTCTCATTTTCACACCATGCATTGCCACACAGAGCTTGGCTTCATCTTCTCAGTTACCTCCCCACAGGTACCAGGGGACCCTTTTCAGGTCTGTCAAAGCCTTCATTTCCTCAGAGTGAACAAGACCAGATCCCTCAACTTGTCCACATGTGGCATGTGCTCCAACTCTCAACCATCCTGAGGACCCTTCTTCTGCCATTTTGTGATAAGGTGTCAAGAACAACATGTACATGGTGGCCACCCTCTAGACAAACTTCTTATGCAGGTGGCCAAGAGAAAAACCTCCAACTGCACTTTTACATCAGTCAAGTATATCTCATGCATAAAAGAGGGAAGGACCTGCTGCACATCCCATCCTTCCAAGCAATGTCCAATAACTCCTATTCCCAGTGTCCAAGAATCTTTCCTCAAAATCCAGCATTTTGGCGTTACACTTCATTACATGAAAGGAGAATGTACTGTGTGGCACAGCCCTGATCACTTGTGTTTTCCTGTAAAACAAAGAGCAAGCATGGAATTCCAGTTGACGTCTTTGAGCAGAGAAGAGAGCCAAGGAGACAAGCATATGAGACTTGGAGGAGATTCATATTTTAAGCATTCATCAGTTAAGATCATAATTACCCTTGAAAATAGAAACTCCAGTACTGAATTCAAGAGAAACAAGAATCACATTTCTAGATCAAATGAAGTAATCCAAAACACCTACCTCTTCAGAAGCAGTCAACTCCAGTGATCACATGGCTAGAAACGCCACTGCGTTTTGGCAGAAGACAAAAGCTACAAAGGTTTTAGAAGTATAAAATCAGGAACTCTAAAACTAAAAGCATACAGATTTTCTTACCTTTGTAATTAAACCTGATAAACCTCCACATTCACTTAAATATATAAGATAGAAGAAGAAATAAAGAACTCAAAGCATTCCATGTCACTGCAGGTGTTGACTACACTGCAGAGTCCTGCCTCAGTTCTTTTAATTAGAGTTGAGCAACTTCTGGTTTAAATATTTCAGCTATTCCTTTGCTCTTGCCTGTTACACCTACAGAAACACTGCAAGCCTTGAAGCACAGTGTGAAACATTAGACATGGTTTATGAGGACAGCAACTGGTAATTTGGAATCCGGAAGTGAGACCAGCTTGAGCTGTTCCCTTTCTCCCCTCCCTAAAGGCTACAGCTGCTTCTGCCAGGGATAGCAGGGCTTTGGTGAACACTGCAGCTGTGGCACAGATATTGCCATCTGCACAACCACAGGTGGCTGCACAATTAGCCAAGCACATTTCCAGTGTTACAGAACCACCTTCCCACTGCCTCCTTTTCCAATGTGCATCTGCTCACTGCTACAATTAACTAGAAACAAATCTGTTTCTTAGCTAACTATGTCAGTTTACTTGCATGTGTCCCATCATGCAAATACTTGTAGGATATTACCAATGGTGATGCCTCACAAATCCTGAATTACAAGCCAGTATTACTTCAGAACAGTCCTTCCTTCTGAAGGTTGAAATTTAGGAAGTATTTATGTTAGTAATCCTTGTTATCAATGGTTTGCAATGGAAAGATTAAAAAACTGACATATAAAAGGCCAAAATATTAACCAGCATGCAAAATGATCCAGAGCAGCTTTTCTATGCTGAAGATCAATGCAGTCACTTTCACTAGATGGTTACTGAATTTTCTAAAATATTAGACTTGGAACACAAAGAAAAGCCACATAGCCAAATCACTCTGTAGCAGCAAAATTTTCTGCCTTCCTGACATCTGATCCCACTCCAGTTCTAAGAACAGATAAAAGCAAGAGAGTGAAAACAAACCTGTTTGTTTATCCTACTTTTTTTTTTTTTTTTTGAGTCTTCTTCAAAGCATAAAAGGTGAGATTAACTTAGAGGACATAGAAATCACAAATTGTCTTGGCATGGCATTGTATTGGAAGGAATAGAATTGATTATCAGGATCAAAGCACCAGTGCTCTCAAGTAAATCATGTTCTGCATGCAGAAATTTAGTATGAACTACGCTTTCAGATAGAATAAAAAAAAAAGGGAATGCAATACAGTCATGTAACAGAGGCTGTTACAGAGAGGCTGAAGGCTCCAAGTCGACAGAGGCATAGTCTATTCTTGGAAAGACACACTTCCAGATTAATTTAGTTGTAGGAAATATCAAGATAACTGAAATGTAATTTCAGCGGTGTTCTGGAGAAAAAAAAAATCAGAGAACCAATAGACCAAACAAAACACCAATCAACCCAGACCAGTAATGAATATGTCAATGTGGATGTTCAAAAAAACAAATATGATTCCATCCAAGCCCCAAGACCAACCTCAGCCTCCATTCTCCTCCCTACAGCTGCAGTAACTGCACCTCTTAAATCAGTCACATCATGTGGACACAGAGGGGAGAATGGAGCCCCAAGCCCAGCTGTGATCTCTTTTTCTGCCTCATCAGTGGGGCATGTCAGCTTCTCCTGTTTCCAGGGACCTACATCTGAGGCTTATGCAATTGGATTTACCTTTTACATAGGGAAACTCATAAGAATACACTCATGAAGGACTGGAAGTACTCCATTCCTCTGAAAACCAACATGCAAGCCATGTAGACAGGATGGCAGAACAAAAGCAAACAGCAAACTCCACTTCCCTGCTCTGTCGTGTCCAGAGGCAAATCTCCTCAAGAGGTGGGGAGGAAGTTACAAGGCTCTCATCCCCAGTCTTTTACAATATGTCCATGTATGCCTCAAACTGTGCAGAGCCATCCAATGAGTTCTGAAAAGAAGGCTGAGATCTCTGCTGCTGCAGAAAACGAGATTGTATTTGAACTCTCCCTGTATGCGGGTCTCATAAGCACAATAAAGCACATAAAACACCTCTGTTGATATGGCAGGACCAGCTGCTTCAGATGACATCAGAACTTACTTGCATCACTACTGTTCTTGCTGTGTTTTAGCCATACTTGGCCTGAAGACATGTTGGGGTTTTTAATATAAACTGTTGCTCATAAACCTTGTTTACTGTGCTGTTCAGTTGTCAACAAATGAAGCAAGACACAGGTAACTTTAAAGAACATGTGTTCAAATATTTACATTTACATTAGAAAGAGCTCTGACTAAAAATGCAATATTCTTCTGCTTCATTTACTCAGTGCTCAGTAGTCTACTGTATAACAGTAGCATCTGGCTATGTTGAGAATCTTTTGTGAGACCTCAGAGGTAAAAATTCAGATAATAAAACAAATATCCCAAATTTCAAGCTTAGTTGCTAAAACCAAGTCTAAACCTGTTGCATATCAGAAATATGTAGTTTTTGAGTTTTCTGTGCTTCTTGGCACAGGCACCCTGGAAAACACTGCACTGGACTTGAAACCTTGGAGATAATTTGTAAATATAAAAAATGAGTTAGAGATCACAAATGTGTAGTAGGTTAGATGTGTGTATTTTCACTGGGTGATGGGTTTTAAATTTGAGGTTTTTATGTATAGTGGTACTTAGGGGACAAGATGGAGAATTTTGGGTGGTGTCTTTCTTCTTGTTCATCTTCTTCTCTACCGGCTTCTTCACAGAACTTAGGTAGTTACCTTTAGATTGGACAGTCTAAAGTCACTCTGAGGGTCATGGGAATCTATTATTGAGTTAAAAGTATAAATAATATAGGTATAAAACTTTTATTGGACTGTTTAGCTTTAAAAGGCCTTGAAACAGGCTCAGCTTGGAGCCATTTTGCCTACTTCTAGCAAGAAGTGATGTTATGTTTTCTGTAAATTTTGATAAGGTATAATAAACATCCAAGTCCGAACACAAGAATCCAGCTCGATTGCCTTTCTAATAATGCTGGCTCTGAACAGAAATAGACGAGACTGAGACAAACCACTAATTAGTGGTGCAAAAGCCCAGTAAAGCCCTGTAAAGCCTGAAACAATCTTACATAAACCCAAATGCATTACTAACAGTGAAAGACATTTTTCCAGACTCTAGGACAAATTGCAGGACAGCAGTATCTTTCATGGTGTGCTATTTAATTATGAAGGCTCTGCAGGTCTCTCCTTCCTCTGCCCCATAAAAGTCACATTGGCTCCATCAGTGCACCTGCAGATGAGAAAAAAGCAAACAAGGAGGCAAAGCTGCACTTAGCATCTGACATCCCTCACAAACTGGAAATATGGAAACCAGAAGGGGTGAATATTCCCAGAGGACTGGGGGTGTCTGTCTTGTCTTTTTTCCTCCTAGAAGCAGCACAGTATTTTGCAAACTAAATCAGAGAAAAGGCTTCTCACCATTACAGCTTATTCTAGGGGAGTTAGTAGCCCTGGGAGTGTCATTCTGCAAGAAACATGAAGGCAAAATATATGAGGACAGCATTGTCTCTGCCTCAAAAGCATGCTGGTCTTATTGCAGTAATGGGGTCTCCCAGAAAACACTGTCTGCCCACACTCACTGGCTAGTCCTGGTCACACCAACAGGAATTAAATACATGGTTAGAAGGACTGAGCACTTCCAAGTCAATGCCTGAACTGATTGGATTAGTGAGCCAACCAAAAGCCTAAATCAATTCTCAGTTTTCCCATAATGATGGGAGACAAATAGGAACAATTAAAAATATTTTGTGGATAAAGACCAGGAAGAGCAGTAATTAGCCAAAAACCTAAAAAATTATTTTATTGACTGAGAGAAATCATCATTATTTCTGACAGGGAAGGAAGGGAAGGGACCCAGGCCGGGTATGTGCACTGCCATGCAGAATCTGCTGTTCGAGTAATACTGGACAGACACACAACTTTTGCAGTATCTGATAAAGGTTACATGGAAATTCATGAATTTGGAGAATGGGCATCTTTGCCCTTGAAAGAAGTTTTCAGCCTGCTTAATGCTGCAATTTCCTGCATTTCAAGGGAGAAGCCTGTTGGTTTTTTTCTTGGTAGCTTTTGCAAATATCCCTGGTGTCCTTGTTGTGAGGGGAGGAAAGGATTTTTAAAAAGAATTGAAAAATAACTACGTTTTTCCACAGAGATGGATGTGACTTGAGGGATGGAGAGACTAACAAATTCTTAGAAAACTCCTGGGTAAAAAAAAACCGTCAGCCTGGCCCAGGTGCAAAGACAGACACACCCTGCAAGCCCTGACATCTGCCTACAAAAAGGGATGAACACTCAGAGCAAGGAGGGTTGAACCTTGCAAGAAGTGAGAGACGCTTCTACAGTGCCTCTGTCAGTGTTCAGCTGCCTAAAAACAAAAGAGCACATGGCAGATGCAGCTGCACCAGCTGAGCCCACCTCTGCACCAAAGCTGGAACTGCCTTTTGAGTGAGGGCAGGGCAAGAAAAGCCTTGCGAGTTTTCATGACAGCTCATCCTGAGCACCAGATCAAATTTCTTTGGAGCAAGCTCTACCACATAAAAGATTCTCCTTGGCATAGTTTCTCCAGCATGCACTGTCACTTGAGTGACAAAGACAGCATACTGTGTGTTACCCCATGCCACTCTGCTGGTGACAAACCTACCCTAGAATTTCATCCTGAATGCTAAATGGTGACTTTTCTCTGGAGTCTGAGTGATTCCACTTCACACCTTGTGCTTCCTCCTTCTGCTGATGTTTGCCTGCTACAAAAACACATACAGCATATATATAGCATATATAGCCTGAGTACAAAGTAATTCCTCTGGCAACTTACTATGAGCCAATCTATGACTATTCAGCCAAGCATTGCCTTTGCTTAACTCTCACAGCTTTTAAAGTCTTGGAGCCTGGCTGGATCCAACTTCCTGGGCAGAATTACTCCCTGATGATAAATATAGCTCACAGGCAGCTGGGCCTCCAAGGGAAGGAAGATGACCCCACCAGACCCCACCAGACACCTTTGCTCAGGTGTAGCTGGCTGTGAGCACACAGAGAGTGCCAGCCCACATCTGAGAGCAACAGATGCAAACAACAGAGAGTAAAAAAAATCTACTCTCATCCTGATTGTGGCCATTTGAAACCTTTCCACTGGCTTTCTCTGTCTTCCTCTAAAACTGGGTATGAGGTGCTGTAAAATCAGAATCTCCAGTGTCAGATAAGAAACTGTAAAATAAATCACTGAGCCAAACAGAAAATTACTATGCCTTACACTACTTATGCAGTTCTTCTTCCTAACCACTCCTCCTTTCCCCTCAAAAAAAAACCCAAAACCAAAAAAAACAAACAAAAAAAAAAAAAAAAAAAAAAAAAAAAAAAAAAAAAAAAAAAAAACCAAAAAAAACCCCAAACAACCAACCATACAATCTACAGCTGTTTAAACTGCTGTTTTCTGGGTCTTCCCATATATCCTGTATTCTGGGCTGTTTTGCCAAGGGTGGACCATGCCAGTGCCCCCACTATGACAGTAGCTTATGCAAGTAAACCCCACTAGAACCAGACCTAGCTCACACTTGCTCTGCATCATTGCAAAATATCCACTCCCCTGTGAACAGACACAGCAGTAGATTGAGCAGATGCTCAGTCAGAGCCTTCATATTTCTAAATAAATGCTTTTCTTGTCTGTGATGTTCTTTCAGAAGCAGTACAAATAAACATTCAAGGATGATAGCTAAACATCCTTTCGCCAGGTTCCACTTAGCACTTGTTCTAAATTGAATTTTATTTGTTTGTGTTATACACAGTTGGGGCAGGGGAAAAAAAGGAAGCCATCAGCAGAAAAATATTCCTTTACTAAATTCTGCTCTTTTTTTTTTTTGTCTGTAAGTGAAGCCATTCACTTCTGTGAAACACTGGCAACAGTTGCTTTGCACCAGTTCACAAGTAGACTGAAATCCTCATGAACTGGAGAAGAATATGGAAAAAAATTGTTACTTACCAGTATAATCAAATTCTTGATTAAATCAGAGCCAAGTGTGAAGTGAAAGTGAATGCAGTGGGGCTGTGTCACAGCCATGAGGTTTAGGTAACTCATCCTGTGCTCCTCAGCAGAACACTGAGCAAGTGGAGGCTTAGTGACTGTCACAAAAGATTGGCTTGAAACAGCTGTGAGTGGTTGACAATTCATGGCCTCTGAAATGCAAGAGGTCATGCTAGATAATCAGAAAGGACTATCTAGCATGGGAATGTATTAATTTATGATAACATTGCTCTTAGATTAGCCATAAGGCCTATCAGGTCATGGAATATGCTGATAAACTTGACAAGTAATCAGAATATACGATTATTGGAAAATGTTCACAGTTGTTAGAAATGAACCAAAGGTGTTCATATATGGTTATTGAAGACTTGGCTTTATGACACTAGATAATTAAAGCATTACCCATTTAGCCTTTATGGCCAATATATTACCGTTTATTTTGCAAATGCTTCAAGCTACTAAATATGATGAGAAATTAATAATAAAAGAAATAAAGTAGTAAGATAATTCTACTGAGCCAAGTTTCACATATATAATTGATGTTCATTCCATTACCAGAGGCCAAACATTCCTTATTTCTTTGACATGAATAGCCCCATTGATATAGTGCAAGTACAATGTAGGATCCAGCCTCCAATGAGATGCTTATGTGGTATTCCAAACTTGAACAATATCATACTGTTTTAAATGGATGATAAATTCTCAAGGATTGAAAAATATTGATGTGGCCCTGTTACTTTGTAGAATTAAAAAATTACACATAGCCCACTATTTTGAGTGCAGGCATTTTAAAGCAACAGCCATTACTAGAAATCCTTACCAACATTTCATGAAGACTTTGTTGTAACACTTGCAATGTAAAGTATTCACAGATAACTCTTATTTTTATTTGGCTGAAAGGAAGTGTTGTAAAGTAAGACCACTCCTGGAAGCTTTCAAATGACACGAAGTATGGTAACCAGTGCCCTTTTTTCAGAGCAAAGATCTGCAGCTGTCGTTGCTTTTGTTAAAATCTGACTCCGTTTCCTTGAAGATAAGACAAACTACATAAAAGCAAGGAAAACAAGATTGATGCAGAGTCTGTGTCAGGTAACAGCTCTTTCTTGTAGCTCTCTTTTTTACCTTAGTTTGAGCACAGCACTCAGTTTTACAAGCCAATCTGAGATGTTGCAGAATTGTTGTTGTATCAGGCTTGACAAAGTGTTGCTTTCCAGGCTCAGAGTGATGGTCCTGGCTGGAAGATTCGGGCTTAAAAAAAAAAAAAATAGAAGGAATTAACAGAAGTGACGAAAACAACACGAGAAGGAAGGTGACAAAGGGAAATTCAAATCCTGTGTTCTGGATGATATATGTTAACAGAAGTTTTTAGTCTGCAAACACAGCATATGGGGCTCAAACTGAGCATCCTGGTGAACACCAAGGCGGTGTGATCCTCACTGCTGTACAAAAATTTCCCAAGGGAACATATTAACTCCATACTGAAAAGGAGAACTGAAATCAAATCAACCATCCAGGGTCATACCACTGAGACATTCTTCTTCTCTAAATTTAGTGAAGAGCATGAGATTAGGAGTTATTTCATCCATCTGTATCTTGCAATACCCTGTATTTCAAACCATGTATCCCAGATCAGTGGAAAGCTAGCCTGAAGGACAATCCACGTATCTTATGGCACCATTCTGAAAAATTTAATAATTGCCTTTTTCCTAAGGTGTTCTCTGAAGCTGCAAATAGCAGTGACTGAAAGAAACTGAAAAGTGTTCAGACTTGCAGGCACCTTCCAGAAATATCATAAGCCATGTTTTTATATCTGATTAAGAAGAAATCTTTTTGTGTTTCTTTCCCAATTCTAATGATAGAATCCAAATGTACTATTCAAATAGGCAGCCCTTATACTTGAAAAGGGATGCAGAAAAGCAGGAGTCTTAGACATGTTCTGCATGTAGGTGAACTGAGGAAAATCTACATTTTCAGTGCTGATTCTTTTTGACACCTAAACTATCTGACTAAAATCAGCCTGATT